GGCGACCTGTGCTAGCCTCTGTGCAGTGTGTCACCCGCTGACGAGCAGGAGTGAATTGGTGGACACCCACATCCTGTAGGTCAGCACCACTCACCAGGTTCGTAGAGAACGAGGGGAGGTAAAGACCAGTCAGGGTGCTAGAGGGAGCCGCCGGACACGGGAGGACTGTGGAGAAACGAGACAGGACAGGACCCCCAGAGGGGTCAGCCAGGGACACCGCAACAGGCCAACTAAGCGGCGTGAGAGTGGTGCGGTCCCGAAAGAAGGAGCGAGACGCCCCAGAGTCAAGGGTGAAGGTGTGAGAGGCAGAAGACGACACAGTACCTGAGAGGGCAGACTCACCAGTACCTGAGAGCACAGACGCACTGGCACCTAGAGCAGCAGCCTCACTGGCACCTGACGCAGCAGTACCAATGCCCGGGTCGGGCGGGAAACACTGGTAACAGTCACCATCATCACTAACAGTCACAGCATACATGGCAGCAAGGATAGCATCAAAGTCAAGATCAAAAACAGCTACACCAGCCCTAGACAGCTCTCCCCAGCGGGGGATCTCAGAGGCCTCCGGAAACTGCTGGCGCCAAGCGTCGGTCAAGCGGGCAAAGCAGCGACGAGCGGTGTAGGTGCCCCCACACTGCTCACCCGCGCGGTCGCCGGTGCGAAGGACGTAGGTGCAGGGACCGAACGCCCCACCACGCTGACGCTGCGAGTACCACTCACGGAGCATCTGAGGGGCGGGGACGTCGCGAGAGCGCTGCTGCTGCTGCTGGCGCTGACCACCCCCAGTGCTGCCCCGCTGGGACGAGCCACTCCGACCACCTCCACCACCGCCACCTCCGCCTCCGCCGCCACCGCCGCCACCGCTACCCTCGCCCCCGCCGCTCCCACTGCCACCTCCGCCACCACCTCTGCTGCCACCTCCGCCTCCACTGCCGCCACCAGTACCTCCACTCCCGGCTCCACCCCCACCGCCACCCCCACTCCCCCCGCCGCCCCCACCTCCTCCGCCACCGCCCCCGCTAGCTCCACCCGCTCCCTTGCCCCCCTTGCTCCTGCCAGAGCGGCGCCTACCGCTGGGGGCAGACGCCGCACCGACCGACTCTAAACCAACGAGGTCGGCCGCAGCAGCAGAGGCGACAGAGGGTAACAGGGGGGAAGGAGAACACCCCTCTAAGATGGGAGTGCGCGGGTCACCACGAGAGGCCCCAACAGCGACTATGCTCTTCTCGGCCGCTAGCAGGGACTTCTCGAGGAGGTCGACAGTGAGGGTGGTGGGACAGACAGAGAGAAACTGGTCCCTAACAGCACGAAGGGACTCAGGGAGACGGGTGACTAGAAAGTAGAGGGTGATGTACATGGGAGGGGGGTTTTCAGAGAGGAAGGCAGCAGGAAGCGCAGCTCGGTAGCGAGTGTCACTAGCGCGAAGGTGGGTAAAGAGGTCAGTGACTGTGGGAAAGGCAGCAAGGTCAGGGAAGAGGTACGGTAGCATGAGGCGGCTCAGTGTAGCAGTGGAAGGGGAGGAGTAGCGCGCAACTACAGCGTCGTACAAGGCCTGAGCGGTCTTGCACTGACTAAAGTGTGCACGCTCGGAGGAAGGGAGGTGGCGACGCACAGCAAGACGTGCAGCAGCATCGCGTGTGGCCCACTTGGAGCGAACAGTGGGGTCAGCATCAGCAGGAGGGGCAGGGACAGCGCCAGAGACAAAGTCAAAGAGAGAAACCTCATCGATCGCATCGCACAGTAAGTACAGTTGCAGGTCCTCAATACACGGGCGATGCAAAGTCAATGGCGCGACCCTCAGCGTCAAGAGTCAGGACACTGGGGGTGGCCATTGTAGCAGCTGACAGTCTCACCGGGCAGGAAGAGTCGGGTAGCACAGCGGCACAGCAACACGGCAGTACAGCAGCTGCGCCGGCCTAGGAGCAGTGGGAGCCCCACAGGAGCAGAAGATCGGCTCCTCGGGCGGCTCGGGCGGCTCGGGCGGCGTGGGCGGCTCGGGCGGCTCGGGCGGCGTGGGCGTCTCGCGGGCGGCTCGCGGGCGGCTCGCGGGCGGCTCACAGGCGGCAGCACGGGCGGCTGGTGCGGCTCGTGGACAGCTGCACGGGCGGCTGGGGCGGCGAGCGGGCGTCTCACGGGCGGCTGCACGGGCGGCCGAGGCGGCTCACGGGCGACTGGGGCGGCTCGCAGGCTGCTCACGGGCGGCTGCACTGGCGGCCGCACGGGTAGGTGCACGGGCGGGTGCACGGGCGGCCGCACGGGTAGGTGTACGGGCAGGTGCACGGGCGGGTACACGGGCGGGTGCACGGGCGGGCACACGGGCGGCTGCACGGGCTGCTCGTCGGGCGGCGCTAGGGCGGCGCGTGGGCGGCGCGTTGGGCAGCGCGACGGGCGGCGTTAGGGCGGGCAGCGGGCAGCGCTACGGGCGGCGCGTTGGGCAGCGCGACGGGCGGCGCTAGGGCGGCTGCACGGGCAGCGCGACGGGCTGCGCTAGGGCGGCGCGTTGGGCGGCGCTAGGGCGGCGCGTCGGGCAGCGCGTCGGGCGGCGCTAGGCTGGCGCGTCGAGCGGCGCTAGGGCGGCGCTAGGGCAGCGCGTCGGGCAGCGCTGTGGGCGGCGCGTCGGGCGGCTAGCGCTAGAGCAGGCAGCGGACGGGCGCTAGGGCGCTAGGGGCGGCGCTCACGTTCGAGGGCGGGCGGTGCGCTAGCGGCTAGGGCAGAAAAAAAGACGTTTCGAGGTGGTGGGCCCTAAGCACAGGTCCCACAGGGGAACCTGCTCGATACCATGAGAAGAAGTGAACGAGAATGGATGAACTATGAATGAAGTGAGTACAAATATGAAACCCTAATTGGGTTGTACCCCCTATGGGATACCCCACTATAGCCTACACAAATAAGTAAGCTATAATGTTCTGACAACATGTGCACCCGATATTGCCACGCCACTCCAAGCTCGACCACGGCGTCGCATGCGGAGTCTTGCGACACCTGCTGTCAACGTCGCAACGACGGGGCGGGAACGTGGCTGATTTCGAGTCGACTCGATGTTGAAAGCCGAGTCGACCACTTTTACGGCCATCAAATTCGAATGACATTAGCGAAATCTGCGACTTTCGCAACCGTTCTCGTTAATTTCGTGAATGTGTTACTTTCGCCAATGTGCCTTCCCGGAAACCTCCTCTCCTGGCAAACCGACGCACCACTGGTGCGCGCATGGTGCATCCGTGGAGAGCTAGCACCATGCGCGCACCAGCTGATGCGGGGCAGCACCAGCTGGTGCGGGTCAGCGATATGGGCCCTGTTCGATAGCTTCTGGGGCTTCCAGGATGCAACCGTTTGGAATGGCCCTGTCGCCCAAATGGTTAAGGGTCGCAACAAACTGCAAGTGGGGCCTCAGGGCCGGCAGTGTAATCATTTGGCCGCCCCAACGCCGGCTTGTTTCACCAAACTCAACCGTGCATGGTGTCGAAAAGCTCCACCCCAACGGCCCATTGAAGCGGACGAGGGTTCCCCCAAATTTTGACAGGTGAAGGCGAAAAAAAACCGGAAAACAAAATACCGCTGGATGTAGGGAAAAAAAAAACCAACCACGTAGAACATCTCTGCAAGGAAACCCTGATTCGCGAAACACACTTCCTAATTCGCTGTATGTCGGTAAGGCACTGGACTCCACAAATCGCGACGTAGTACGAAGCTGCGAAATGTGCAAGTCTCGAGAGTCAAAAGGCTCAGATTCGGCTGGGCATGCTCTGTTTTTCTTTACCCTACTTTTGGGCAGTTAGAGATAGGGAAACCGCTAGATTAGACTATCCCTAAATAGCCCATTGGTCTGGCAGTGTGGCGATTTAGTTGAAAAGCAACTTTGGCAATGGTCTGACAATGGTCTGGTGTTTTACCAGGGAGGGGCTGTAATCATTAGGCGGCAGTTACTGTTCTTGCGCGCTGTGGTGTCAAAGTACCTCGTCAAGATTCCCGCCAACTTTGACAAACTAGAATGGTGCCCCCCAAGAATCATCCTACCCAACTTCCCCTTCTCTAAAGACGTTTGGTCACTTCTGCAAGCGTGGAGGCAGCCCCGACAGGTCTGAGGCGAAAGAGCAAAAAAACTCGACAATGCATTTCGCAAGTTTGACAAACTAGACAGACCAATAGGACCATTTTGACGAACCCCAGGCCACTTCCTCTCCTTCGAGCACCACAACCGAACCAAACCTGGTACCGGGGCACCACAAACGAACCTGTGGTGGTACCCGAACCTAACCCCTGATGCGCCAGTCGAACAGGAGTCCCACGAGGGTTCCTCCCTCCCCTCAGCAATGGGAGTCCCACTCGGCGATGGCCAGACTGCGCATGTCTTCCCCACCTTTTCCTCCCAAGTTCCTTGACAGTCGCGCAAGTCGTACGAGATCATGCTGACGAGAAGAGACTCACCCAGCCGAGAGGAAGCACTCTTAAGGCGTGTGCAAAGTGTGCAAAAACTCGACGTCGAGCAACGTCGGTGAACTTTCACCCTCGGATCAAAGGTTCCAATCGTCAGGATTCACCGACGTTCCTCGACGTCGAGTTTGTGCAGCACTTTGTACACGCCTGAGACGACCCAACTGTGACGACCCACTCTTACCGTCCCGTTCGTCCTAGTCAAATCTGTTTTCTCCCTCATCTCCCTACTTCATCGTCCGTCCTCAGCCGACTCTGCAATGGCACGCACCGCGAAAACCGTCGCCCTCCCACCATGCCTCTCAGGGCAACGGGGACGGGACCGTCATATAGGGCAGCGTCGGCGAGATGCGCCGCTCGACTCACACGCTTTTGATAATTCAGGTTGAAAAGGCATTCTTGCGGAATTAGACGCAATGAGTGGTAACCATTCATGACCATTCGAGACGCCAATCGCAGAAGCCTATCGAAGAGCTGACGCGTAACAAACACCACGGTCCGGAACTGACGCCTATCACACGAACTGATAGCTTGCTCGCTACAGAGTCACTCGAAAAGATACGGCGATCATGACGAGCCGTCGCCGTGACGTGCGGCACTGCCCGACTTTCCCGTTATGCATCCTTATCCTTTGCCACGTGGCATCCACGTGTCGTGCGTGTCTTCCGCCTATGTTCTCGGCAGCAGCAAACGGCACCCCTCCAAACCCTAATTGGGAGATCGACTTTGACTGGCTGAGTAACGAGAACCAAATCGCCATGGCGCGATTCGCCGTGGCACAGCACAACGCCGCCAAGGTGAGCCTCGCCTCGCCTCGCCTCGCCTCGCCTCGCCTTGATTCGCTCCAAGTGCAAGAGTACTCTCTTGCAACAGGTGTTAAGCGACGGGCGACGGGCGACAATGTTTCAAGAGCACTTTGCTGCTTTGCTTCTCGTCCCCACTCCAGCGTATTCTCTCTCCCACATCCCCACTGTAGCACAGTCACTCCCTTGCTTTCATTCTTGAACGCTTCCCCCTTTTTTTCTCCCCTTCTCCCCGTCTTCCTGTCTCCCGCTTCTCCACGCCAGAACGACAGCCTACAGCCAGTCAGAGTTCTCGATGTGTACCGCCCGAGCGCAGGCAATGGCAGCGCAGGCAACTCAAGCGCGGGCGGGGAGGAGTACCTTGTGACACTGGCGGCTCTCAACCTGATGCGCGGCCGCACTGCCTTCTTCGACGCCCTCCTCTCCCGCCGCCCTCTCGAGGCCGCGCAATCCGTGCTCCCTGCTGCTGCCCCTCCGCCAGCATCAGCCACAGCAGCAGCAGCAGCAGCAGCAGCAGCAACTGCACCCACCCCTGCGGCAGCGTCCGTTGCAGCAGCAGCAACAGGAGGAGGAGAGGGAAGAGCGGAGGGATGGGAGTACACGTTGAGGTCGTGGGTGCAGCAGGCAGGGTCGGGGCATGTGAGCACGCGGGAGGAGCAGGAGGCGGCGCTCAGGCACGTGGTGCCGGTGACCCCCCCTTGGTGTGGCCACCTGTTGACTTACGTTGACCCCTCAGATGTGGACGTGCAGCGCGTGGCACGAGAGGCGGTGGCGAGTGCGAATAAGAGACAGGTGAGTGATGGGAAGGGATAATATCCCCCTTTCACATGAGCCACTATGCACTTCATTCTCTTCACTCTGACCCATGATCAGACCCATGCTCACACCCATGCTCACACCCATGCCCAGGCCCAGTAACACTGCCTTCTTCCTTCCTTGCCATCTCTCCACCCTTCTTCCCTCCGCAGGGTAGCGCGCTGCTGCTGATGTCGGTGCTGGAGGGACAGTTGGTGATACCTGGGTTCAGAGAGTACACGCTCACACTGCTTGCTTCCCCCCTTGCCCCTGCCCCCCCCCCCTCCCCTCCGCCAACCACCGCAGGGCAGTGCGCTGCTGCTGATTTCGGTGCTGGAGGCACAGTTGATGATACCCGGGTTCAGAGAATACACGCTCACACTGCTGGCAGCAGATAACACCACCCGCATGGTGGCACACTATGCCACGCACGCACTAGATCTAGGGCTGACGAACAACAGTGACGCCACGCCTGAAACGTCACAGAGGGGGAACGCGAGTGGGAGGAGTTTGGTGAATGTGACGGCGTTTGCGGTGGTGGCGGGGACGCAGCGGAATGCAACAGCGGGGGAGATGGGCGTGGCGGCAGCAGGGGGGTGTGCCGGGAGGAACGCGAGCAGCAGCAGCAGCAGCAGTGGCGGTGGTGGCGTGTTGCAGTGGGACTTGGCACGGGCCATGGCAGGGGTGTGTGTGGATGAGGGGTGGGTGCTCATCCCTGCTGCTGCCACTGCTGACAATTCAACGACTCCCACTGCTTCCTTCAATGCCTCCTCCAATGCCTCCTCTAATGCTTCCTCTAATGCCTCCATTACCGCCCCCTATACCGACGCCTACAATGGTTTCTCCATGCGCTCCCTCGCTCTCTTTGCCCTGGATGAAGTCAATCAGAACAGCAGCCTCCTCTCCAATGTGACTCTGCTGGACGTTATTGTAGCGAGGGCGAATGTGGTGGAGGGAGCAGGGATCAACTACAGTGTGACTGTAACAGCAGTGGTGGATTCAGCAGCTGCAGCGACGGCACCGGCAGCAACGGCACAGGAAGCACTGCTGACGGTGCCTGGAAGCAAAGCCAAGGCAGTAGAGGTGGGTGCAGCAGAGAAAGGGGCGAAGAAGCGAGTGGTGGTGGTGAAGGTGGTGGTGTGGCAGGCGGTGCCCTTCACGGCTCAGCGCCTGGTTGACTTGTTCGTGGTGGATGGGGGAGACAGTGGTGAGGGGAGTGGGAAGCAAAAGCAGGAGGGCGTGTTGCTCACTGCCTGTGCTTCCCCACCCCCGGGGCATGTCCTCCTTGCTAACTGCACCGCAGTGCCCAAGGCTGGCTATTCTTCTGTAGTTGCACCGATAGGATTTGTAACATTGCTTCGTGTGCTTGTCTCCCTTTGCCTTGTGCTGGCTCTCATGTAGAGAGCGGTCATGAATGAGTGCACCTGGCGTGCATGATAGGGGGCACTTGAGATTGACACGCGCGCTAGGTCTGAGAAATTACCGTAATCAAATTCTCAGTAGCATGGTAAGCATGACGACAGCATGTGCTGTTTCAATCTAGTGATAAAAATCATGAAGTGTTTTTTTGAACATTCAGTACACAATACATCAGCAGAGCCTACCAGGTCACATGCTTACAAGAGAAACCCATTATTGTCCCCCCCCACACCACATGCCCTGCACACACCTCTCTTGCTTGCACGTTTCACTCCTAAATGACTACCAGGTTTGATTCACTCGATTTGCTACAGTGCATTATCAAATGTCTCAAAGCATGAATTCAGTTCAGAGGCATTGAAGAAACCTCATAAGTTGATCATCCTGCGCCATGTCCTCCTGGGTCATATTAAGTGCATTACGCTCAGGCTTCAACCACATTACGGGCCCCTTTCTTCGCCTTTCCCCATCTTCTTCCCAGTGGAATGATCGACCAACAATGCGGTACAGCGCCAGAGAAGAAAAGTGCTTTTGCAGCAAAACCAGCGTCTCGGGCTGCCAAAGGCGAGTGGCAAAGAAAATCGACTCCAGCTTAGGAGCAGTGATGAAGGGAGGGGTTACCGCTTCACGTGTGCTGTCCCTATCCAGCAAACGAGGACCGTTGGCATCCTCCACTGTCGTCATGTAACTGACCCCTCTGTCAGTTCTGCCGTTCACACCAACTGCAAGGCGGCGCAGGCGACTCCACTCCGCAGCCACACTCTCGAGTGGCCAGGCATGCCTCACTGTAAGCATCTCCACTGTTGGCGCTATGCTGCCAAGCAGCTGGGTCAAGGAAGCTTGGGAAGCAGTCAGTTGAAGTAGAGCTTCAGGATCGAACGCTATTGCAATTGGACTGACCCCCTCTTTGGTGATTGGTCCGTTCATATAGACAGTTTTGGCGGAAGCCAATGGGAGCGAAGCAAGAGAGAGCTGTTTGCGGCCAACCAAAGAGACAGAGTCAAGAGAGAGAGGGCTGTCGCATTTGCAGTCAACGTGGAGTGACTCTGCTGTGACAGAGAAGGTCTTCAAAGAGGGTGGGAGGGAGAAACAAACGTCGAGCACCTGGTTTTTGAAATTGACTGTAACGAGTCGAGCAACAGCGAACTTGAAACTGAGAGTGGTAGAGCCATGGCTGGTGGAGGAAAGCGAGAATTCATGCAGCTGCGGTGCGAGATCAGACAGGAAGAGATGATCATTCCTGTTGCAGTCCAAATGCTTGATGCTCAGACTCCTTAAATGCCTGAACCATGGAGCCTGCAGGTTGCCTAGCTTCCACCTCCCACGGCCCAGCTTCAGCCGCTGCAGCTGTCGAAAGGTCGCAAGAAAGGCCGGATAGATCAGCTGTCCGGCCCTGTACTCGATAGGTTTGCCTTGGTCGGCAAATTCCTTGGCTTTAAGGCTCAGGCTTGTGAGGGAGTTAGCAGAGGATGCCATGAGTTGACCGAGGCTGTGCAGGTCTGCCGAGCTGTTAAACACGAGGTCGACAGATCTGTGGGCTTTCCGTTTGAGAAACCACGAGACCGAACCTGCCCACTTGGGGACGAAGGTGTTGTGTACCAGGGCGATTGGCTGCAGCTCCTGCGCATACACACACATGTGACAAAGAAGAATTGTCCATGTTGTAACCGTGACACGGCAGAGGATCTGCAGCTCCCGCATCCTGACAGTACGGTTCAACACCCAGAGCAGAATGCTTCATGCTGTGAAATAAACCGTACGGGACGAGGAAGAAGCGCATCACTCACAGAGAAGGAGGCTCGTGTAGGCATGAGTAGTGAGGAGTAGAAATGTAGGGAAGCAAGAGACGCAGCGGATGACTCACGGAGAAAGAGGTGACATGCTCGAAGAGCCTCTTGCTGGACATGGCACAGCGCAGCAGAGGCCAGGAGGAGCCGAAGCGCCTCGTGTTCTCCTCATGCTGCTCGCTGGCGGAAAGGGGCCTAGTTGTGGCGAATGAGGTGCTGCGTGCTCCCTGCTGTAAAGCGCCCAAGGAGTTGCCTCGTTTCTGAGTGGAGTTGGCTGGTGGCGGTAGCAGCAGGTGGCGGAAGATGATGTGCCAGATGGGGCCGGGCAGCAGATCAACCACGTCCACGCCCTGATGGGTGGGGAGAGAGAAGAAATGGAGATGAGGGAGGAATCGAGGGAGTATTAGAGGTGTGATGAGAAACCAGAAAATCAGATGCACTGTGGGGCAACACTCTCACCTCATGATTCTGGGCATCAGAGAGTGCTGTGAGCTTGAGAGCATGCATCCTCCCCAGAACCTCGGTCGTATGTTGGCTAGCCGTGGCCGTCGACAAAAGGTGTTTAAGACAAATCTCCCCGCAAGCTCCTAGGATTGAAGTCGCTGCCAGTGGCGTTGAGGTGCGTTCGCTGATAACAGTCAGATGAACGACTCTCTGGTATTACAAGTATTCTGGTCATCCTATACACGCATCTCGCCGTGCTCGTACACTCGTGAATCCCTCAACAGTCGTCACATCAGCGATGGCGAGAGCAACACATTCGACCCATCGGGGCCATTCGTATGCTCATCGTTCAATCGAACCCGTTGGAGCGCGACACGGAGAACAGGGGAGGCCGCGGCGGAGGAAGGCGTGGAAGGGAGAGCGGTGCGGTGAGCTCTCACCTGGTTTCGGACCAGCGGCAGCAGAAACTGTGTCATTCGTCATGCTTCGGTCGTTACAACCATCACTACTACGCGTCGAGATTACCGGTCGTGTCGGGTTTTTTAGCTGCCGAAGTGATACATGCATGCATGGCAAGGCTTTCAGGACGGCCATGCACTTTTTCGTCCTAGCTGGCTGGGCTCGTTTTGCGAAGGCACGCGTCGGGAAAAAATCTCACAAGTCTTCAAGCTACACACTTACAATACCTCCTCCACGTAAGTCCTGAAGTTGTAGGGCCGCATATACCTATTTGCAGGTGTTTCGATATTCGCAAATCGAAATCGGTGGCTGAAATTTGGCCTCACTCCGATTATCATTGTATAATATGTACCGTACTATGGCATGTTGTAGGATGAAATATCCACAATAAGCCGCATCTGAACAAACGAGAAGGTTCTGTTTGCTTACCGCACCACAGAATCAAAACGAGTTTGTGTTCCATCAGTGCATAGAAAAGGTAGTCCTTGTGCGTCTACCTACGGTAATACCGTAATAATTCAGGATTCCAGGTTCAACTCCGAGTGCAATTGATTGGGCTAATCTAGTTGAAAAGCTTCTCTTCCACATCCTGCCATCACGGAATACAGCATATGCCCCAGCCCCACCCACTGGTTGATACTGAGTTCAGCAGCAGATAAATCAAGACGGAGGTGTGTTTGTACAGTCGCACAGGGTGCTAAGTCAGTGTTGCTTGCAATGGCACAAGAATACCACTTGCACACATCTGAGCTTACGTGAACAGCAACCAGCAAGTGTTTTGCTGAATTTACATAAATGAAGACACATGTTAACTGAGGGGACACGACCTGAGGCAGGGGGAAAGAGGGAATAAGGGAAGGTCTGACAGGGATGGTAAGAATGGCTGCGTTGGTGGGTGAGGAGGGAGGGAGGGAGACTGTTAGAGTGAGACGATGGAGGTGATAGGGTCTTGTTTCGTGCGTGACACGAACAAACAAGAGCTAGGGCACCCATAGGCACCAGATCCTTCACAAGCATCATAAATTGCACTGTTACCTGCAATGCAGCATGCACACACATGCACCAGCACTGTCCATGCACCAGCCCATGCCGACAATATTGCCACCACTACCATACGCATACGGCAGCCTTCCTGCTCCTCCCTACACACACGTCCTTCACAGGTACCGTAACTCACCCACCTGTGTAACTTTTGAGGGCCCCCGAAAGCTAACTTACCCACCTGTGTCACTTGTCTTTGTTCATTCACTCACTCAACCAGTCGTATAGTATCAAATATCTCAAAACATGAAGGAGTTCAGAGGAATTACTTTTGAGAATTCTAATCCATGAACATCTCAAAGGTGGTTTAAACATGAAGCAGCTCCGAGGAATTGAATGAACTTCCTCATGCATGCCCTCCCCTGGCTCAGGGTACATGCAATCTAATCTGGCCTCACCTGCACTGCTGCCTCACCTGCACTGCTGCCTCACCGGCACTGCTGCCTCACCTGCACTGCTGCCTCACCTGCACTGCTGCCTCACCTGCACTGCTGCCTCACCTGCACTGCTGACTCACCTGCACTGCTGCCTCACCTGCACTGCTGCCTCACCTGCACTGCTGCCTCATTGCTCCGCTTCTCCTGCTGCCTGCAAAAGTGTTACCTCAGCCACGTCCTTCTCTTCCTCCCTCGCCATCCACACCGCACCATCGGTTCCCCGTTTTGCTCTGCTCGATTGGTGGAGCACCAGCAGTGTGCTCTGGCAGCGGCAGCAGCAGCGCCAGAGCAGCAGCGCCAGAGCAGCAGCGCCAGAGCAGCAGCAACAGAGCAGCAGCAACAGAGCAGCAGCAACAGAGCAGCAGCAACAGAGCAGCAGCAACAGAGCAGCAGCAACAGAGCAGCAGCAACAGAGCAGCAGCAACAGAGCAGCAGCAACAGAGCAGCAGCGAGCAGCAGCAACAGAGCAGCAGCAACAGAGCAGCAGCAACAGAGCAGCAGCAACAGAGCAGCGGCGCCAGAGCAGCAGCAACAGAGCAGCAGCAACAGAGCAGCAGCAACAGAGCAGCAGCAACAGAGCAGCAGCAACAGAGCAGCAGCGAGCAGCAGCAACAGAGCAGCAGCAACAGAGCAGCAGCAACAGAGCAGCAGCAACAGAGCAGCAGCAACAGAGCAGCAGCAACAGAGCAGCAGCAACAGATCAGAAGCAACAGAGCAGTAGAGCCAGGCAGCACCATCCTCATGACACTTCATGTCAAGTGATCAGCAGCTCCGTCAGCAGAATGATGATCAGTTGCCACAGCTATACAAGACA